TGTTCACCTCTTAAATTAATCGATGCCCTGTTTTCGTTTAAAGATCTGCTTTAATAGTGTTTCACCATTTACAGGAAGCCGTAACCTTGAAGAAGACGTTCTCACTGCGAGAATGGAAAGCATTGCTCACGACTCCGATCAAGGATCAGATGCCAGTGATGAATTCTACGATGCCAAGGGTATCTTCGTGCCGTCTCCCCAGCTCATGACTTGAATTTTGAAATTGGACATTTTTTGCGCAGATGAGTTTTCGGAAACACTGTCGCTAACTAAGTGGAACTCGATGGAACTTGTTCCTGACGGGGACAACGTGCAATGTTCGGGTCCGAGTTGCCCGAAAAGAGAAGGTGATCTGTGAAAACAAGCTTTTTTGGTCGCTTCGATTTAACGTCAAACCAGTGCAATTTGCGATGTGCCATTTCATTTTATGCGATGAGCATTTATTTATTTATTTTTGTCGGATTAATAAATGAGGAAAAGCCGCCGGAAAAAGGTTCATGTTTCATTGACTGCTTGGTGGAGGCTCCTCTGGTTTTAGACGTGTGGCTTTTTCTATTTTCATTTCGCACTTCAATTTACTTGCAATTGTTTTCCGATATTTTCGTGGGTTATTGCGTTTGCTGCTGAATATTTCGATCTACATTTTCTATCTCTTGCCTTAGATATTCAGTTGAGAACGACTTCATTTGAAGGTCTCCCAAATTTATTTTATTAATTCTTTAACTGCAGGTTATGTCTTACAAGGATCACCAATTGTTGGAAGAGAGGAATTGACGGCGAAATACGAGAGGCAAATATCATCAAGAAGTGCTGATTCGTATTTATCACATGGCGTTTCCCCTGTGCCACCGAATTGTTCAACTGTATGTCTGGTTTTGGTGTTCCATGGTGGAAGTGTTCTTGGTAAGTCTTGTCATTCATCAATGTTCAGTCATGTTTCAGGAGCAGTATTTATCTTCGTTGAATTGCCATTCGATTCATTGTTCCCGGCCCTAAATAGACATTATTTACTTGGGAATTGTTTTTTCTTCCAATAGAGGTTTTTCGCGGATTAATTGAAATTTGATTGCAGATTGTGAATTCTTTTTTGAGCATATCCATTCGAACGTAACGTGATGACATCCAGCCTGTAAGTTCCGTAGAAAGTACCGTATTTCGGTCTGATTTCGACTTTTTCTGGTGGAAAATGCTCTGGAGTTAATTTTCTGAGCATGAAATATTAATTTTTTTAACCGGATAATAAAGGCTTTTTGTCGTATTTTTTGGAAAATCGCGATAATTTTGTGTCGTCGGGGTCATTTTAAAATGAGTGTTATATTGGTCGAATATTTTGAAAATACAGTTTCGACATTGGTCCAGCTGTTGTTTTTTAAACTTATCAGAATGAATTAAATTCAAGGTAATCTTCTTCTTTTGTACAGTATATTGACATTTGGAATTAAATGTGCATCTGGCTTTAATTTTGATTACGGCCTTTAAAATTAATGTGAGTTATCGTGAATAGAGACTTATATATGTTATATGTAGAGTAGAGTTACGTTATAACGAGTTAATTCTTGAACTGAAATGTATTCATCAAGTTATCTGTCCAATAAGCGCAATATTAAACAGATTTCGGTATAATTAACTTTTCACTGGTCCAAACGGCTTCCTCGTGACAAGATTTTACTGTTAGGGGCCTAAAAACTGTCCAAAGATTATTTTAATTTGGCCATATTTTTGTCGAACACCAGGTAACGAAAAAGTTGTAAATTGGTCGATTTCGTCATTTCACGATTTCGCGAATTATTACAGGTGTTTATGATCAATGGTTTCAGCTGGATTAATGGCATTAAGAGTAAATGGGTGAAATTGATCGATGGCATATATCACATCCCGTTCGTTGTCAAAATGTTGTTAATTGTGTTCCACAGATGTAAGTGCGGAGATGTCGTCGAAAAAGTCGGATGTTACTACATTCCGTGGGGCATTCGAGTCCGTGATGAGACAACATTATCCGTGCCTTGTTGGACGCGTTGTCGTTCAACTCGTTCCGTGTCCTGCAATGTGCTCTGAAGCCCTCGGATTATTTTCCAGGTAAATAAATATTTGTGTGAGGGCTAATTTATGTTGTTATTTTTAGAATTGCATCAATGAGATTTTGATGTTCGAATGTGATTTGCAGTTTAAGTCCGTATTCCTTCGACGTGTCGCCAACCGCCAGCGATGGTAACGTTTCCATCACCCGAGACGCCATTCCCATCGGCGCCGTGCCGCTTTTCATGACTAATTCGCCGGAATATCACGATGCAGTCTCCAGAGTCATTTCACGAGCCAATTCAGTCTATCACGAATTTTTGCGGAGTGAGGAAGGAGTCGGTTTTAGTGGCCAAGTTGTGATTGTGGGAGATTCCGCGGGAGCTATTTTTGCCTACGATGCTCTGTGCGGACATGATCGGCCTGAGAAACGACTGAGTTCGGAGAGCATTGATAAGGATGGACTTCATGAGCAGCAACACTCAAAGGTAATGATTTTTTGTCGATTGTCAAATAATGTTGATGTCTGGGGGACTTCCGATTGATCTTTCAAGTAGAAAGATGATCCCAAAAATTTCAAGTTGGTATGCCGCGGGAAAGACAGCTTTTTTTGTGTGTTTCAAATTCTGGAGAAAGCGTGGATCCAATGCGTCATATTTTGTGGTGAACACCATATGGTTGAAAGATTCAAGTAAATTGCGTGATGCAGTGATTTTTTAACATTTAATTTTCCATTTTACAGTACTGTATTTGATGACCGTTACTTTTTGAAATGCTGTCAGGTTTTATATAATTTTGCAGTGCTCATGCAAAAAATAACTGGAAAGTTTCACTTTGATCGTGCATTAAATTGAAAAAATGTTTTACCGAAAAAATTCCAAAATCATGAGCTTTTTATTTTTACAATCACACGTAGTATAGAAATAACCAATGTCGCTCCCAAGTGGGGCAGCCTTCGTTCATTTACCGTATATTTTGATAGGGTTTTTTCAAAATTTAAAGTGACTGTCCATTTTTTCCGACTGCCATGGACACCAAAAAAAGGCATACGGATTTCAAATGAACCTTCACTTGGAAAATTTTTGGGTGGCGTACGGGTTTCTTCATATAAAAAAAAATGCTACTACAGCATTACTTTGAGCTACTTAATCACCTTTTTTCGTACATTTCTTATTGGCAAGTGTTCGTTCTGTTTTAAATTATTTAAAGGTGCACGCTAACGTGAGTTGGTACTATAATGTGTTGGAATCGGTTTCGGAGAGCGAGGCCTGGGAACCGGGAAGGAAACCAAGTTGTCAGAAAAGTTTTTCTGACATTCCCACGTTGTCCGGATGTGGTGTTGGTGACGGAGATGGTCATCACGCTCCGTTAAAAGCATTCCTATCGGCTCCTGCTCCCAGGAGCTACTCGATTTCAAGGTTGGTCGTTGATTTGTTGACCATGACCATCACGCACTTGATGCAACTTTATTTACTTGATTAAAATCTTGAGCCGATTGTTCCGCCTTTTTATGGGAAAATTTCAAAGTAAGCTGAAGCGCGTACGAAACTGAATTTTAAACCATATTTTTCGTCAATCTGAACTTCCGTCCGTCTTCTATTGAGTTTATTTTAGTGAGTTAGTTTGAGCAAAACTGCTTCAAAAAATTATGAATGAATGAACGGATTTGTCAGTGCCTTATGAATTCTATTTTTTGTATTCCAGCGTCATTTTGATTGTTTGGCTGGAAAATTTGGAAGATGTCATCTTGGAAGCTTCATTTTTTCCTCTTTGTTTTAAATCATGTATAGTAGCTGCGACAGTCAAGCTGGTCAGCTGGATTTTGAAGTATCCAGCTTCTTTCTTATGGGATCTCCTCTGTCGATAATTTTGGCATTCCGTCGGATTCAAAACTCTGAGGACAGGAACGGTGAGGACGCATTAGAAGTGTTGTCAATATGAAGTTTCACCTAATTATTTATTTTTAAAATATTTTTGCAGGTATGCCTCCGCGTCCTGCTTGCGGTCAGATTTACAATCTTTTCCATCCAGCTAATCCGGTGGCCTCGAGAATTGAGCCACTTTTGGCGACACGTTTTGCTCAGCTGCCGCCAATACCGATTCCGCGGTATTCAAAATATCCGATGGGCGATGGAACGCCGACTATTCTTTGTGAGT